TCTTCCTTCTAGTCGTAACTATTCACGCAATCTTAATAATTTCTTAACCATAGTTGATAGTTTCTTAACCATAGTTGATAATTTCTTAACCATAGTTGATAATTTCTTAACTATAGTTGATAATTTCTTAACCATAGTTGATAATTTCTTGAGAAACTAATAATTGTTGTTGAGAAAATTATTCTAGAGAACAAATTACACATTATATTAAATGTGAATGAAATAGAATCTCAAACCAACTTAGGCAAGCAAAACAACTAAAAAGTGCTCTCGGGGTGGGCGGAATCCATCCAACTCATTAAATGGTTTATAAAAGTATTTTTCACCAAAACAAAACAACTAAAAGTTGAAGCTTCTAATATTTGATAAACACAACTCTAGCCAATAAAAAGGTTTAATAGACTCAACTTTAGTAAATAACGTTGAGCTATTATGTTTACCTGTCCATACGAGTACACAATTAAAACATGTTGAGGGAAAAACATTAAAAATTTTTTCGGTACAACACGATACAAAAATGCAGATAAAGCACTCTTTCCACAAAAGCTAAAACTATTTACAGACAGTGGAGTATTCACTCAAATAAATGCTTCGACAGCTTTTAAAACTTGGAAAATATTTCCACAAAAGTTAACTAGAATTACCAGTGAAAAATTGTTAACTGTAAAAACGCTATCTAATCAACTATGGAAATTAAAATGAGATTACACAAGCAATTAACAATATCGTCAATATAAATTTAGTAGAAATGCAATCCACATGTTTAGCTGAAACACAGAAGATAAAAAGAGCTGAAACATAAGTGAAAGGAGCTAAAACACAGGAGGTTAACAATTCCAAGACAGCAACTAAAAACGGTACTTTTGTACTTTCGGCACACCTAACTGAGAAAAGTGGAGATAAAAGAGAAACAATCAAGATAACATTGTCGAAATCCCTTTCATCTTTAGAACCTTGAGCTAATGTTAGGAATCAACCAAACGAAGACGAACCCAAAAAAATTAGTTCATTATAATTAGTTTACTTATTAAAAGTGAAAATAAATGTCATGTGAACAGATCTGAGAATCGATATTTACTGCAAAAAGTGAAAATCTACAGTTGATGATGTTGGATAATACTCAAGCTCACAACAGTATCTCATTTTTTCTGTAGTTAATAAGGTTATTTGCCACTAATATAAATATGTAGTAATATAAATGTGTGGCCGTGGCGCAGTGGTTAGAGCGTTTGCTTAATAAGCAGGAGATCCAGGTTCAAAACAAGCCTTGGACATATTTTCGCGTCACGGTAAGGAAGGAGGCGTGAACTTCCTGGTTAGATGCACTTCCGCGGTGCTCTGTGACAAAACCGTTAGGTCTTCTTGAGGCTAAATAACAATATATATATATATATATATATATATATATATATATATATATATATATATATATATATATATATATATATATATATATAAATATATATATATATATATAAATATATATATATATATATACATGTAATACATGTAAAAAAAAAAAAATAAATAACAACGTAGTTTATTATATTACAAATGTTTATATAATAAAATATAATATTAAAAAATAACTATAACAATATTAATAAAATAAAAAAATAAGTAATTAAATAAAAAAAATAGTAAAAAATAGAATTATAGAAAATAATAATTTGAACCATTATAAAAAAATAGTTTTTAGAACCATTATAAGCGTCATAAGTGATTTGTTAATGGTATTATAAACATCATAAGTAGGGGAGATGGGGGCGCATTGATCGGAGGGGCAGTATGATCTTTTAGCTTTTACTCGTTTACTTTTGCCTTAATTTAAAAGAGATTGCAATTTAATTAACCATTATACTACCTTTTATTGTTTAATCGTAATAATTTTTGATAAGATCAACTTCAGCGTTAAGAAAATTGAAAAGACAACTTTTCATCATGAAAAGTGATTTTTGAAAGTTGTAAACAAATTCAAATAAATTTTTAGTTAGATTTCCGTATGATTTTACAAACAATTTATTGTAAACTCATATGTTTTAAGTTTATAATAAATTTATTTTTTTGAGTTGGTTACTGTATTTATAGAAGTTATTGGCATCAATATATCAACTGTAGCTAATGGGGCACATTGATCGTTGACTATGCGGAGCTCGTTGATCGGAGGATCAATGTGCCCCATATAACTTAGATTATAAGAATTAAATTTTTTTGTTTAAATTTTATACGTTTAAACTTATGACGAATAAAAAATCTTTATATAATTTTTTAAATTTTATTTTTAAAATGTAATAGTGTTAAAAACTAATATTAATAACATTAGCTTTTAGTTGTACATTAGTTTTATAATTAGTTTACATAATATTATTATATAAAATATATTTTTTAAACAATCATTTTATTTTACTTTTTTTTTTAATTTTCAGATCTTTAAATGGTTAGGTGTAGAAAAAAAACAACAGACAGAGTTGCTATATCATGTGATACAATGAAAGCAGCTGTTAATCAAGTTTTAGAGGGCAGACTAGTGAATGTTTTAGCTTGCAAGTTTAGCATAAATCAAATGACTTTAAAAAGATATTCTAATAAAAAGAAGCTCAATCCAAATGAATCTTTTAAACCTAATTACAACAATATACAAGCTTTTACTGCAGAAGATGAAAAAAGTTTGTCAAGTTATTTACTACTTGCATCAAAAATGAACTATGGACTTTCAACTAAGTCAACACGATTAATGGCATACGAGTTTGCTGTAAAAAATAATAAGATTTGCCCTTCATCGTGGATCAAGAATAAAATTGCAGGGATTGATTGGTTGCAGGGTTCTATGAAAAGACAACCAGAGTTGTCTTTACGAACACCTGAAGCTTTGCTCGATCAACTGCCTTTAACCTACACACTGTAGAAGAATTTTTCCAAAATCTAAAAACAATAAGAAATTGATATAAGTTTGATCCTTATTGCATATATAATGTTGATGAAACTGGTTTAACAACAATACAAAAGCTAGTAAAAGTGTTAGCAGGTAAAGGAAGTAAACAAGTAGCAAGAATCACATCTGCAGAACGAGGAACATTAGTAACTGTATGTTGTGCTTCAAACTTAATTGAAAACTCTATTCCTCCACTATTTGTTTTACCTAGGGTCAAATTTCATGATTACATGATAAAGGAAGATCCTCCTGGATGCGTGGAATTTGCAAATCATTCTGGTTGGATGAATTCAGACATTTTTATAGAATGGATAAAACATTTTGCAAAATCACGACTTGACTTTGACAAAGGATGATAATATAAAAAAATAATCTTGTAAACTTTAGTTCTAATAAAAGTCTTGTATGAATCTTGTATTTTCTTTGTAAACTTAAAGTACTGTATTCTTATAATCTTATTCTTATAATTATATTCTTATAATGTTACTCATATAAGATGAAAGCGCCCCATATCGGAGATCATAGTACCTTATTGCATGGGGTACATTGATCTTTTGCAAGGGTTGTTGTAGTGTTAAAATATACCATGTTCATTAATTTTTTTATTAAAACATTAATTTTTACTTAAAGACAGATTGTTCTAGTTTAGTTCAGTAATTGATAAGTTTTTATATCTAGATCGGGTTGTTCGCAGTTTTCCAAAATACTGCAACGGCGATCAATGCCCCCCATCTCCCCTAATTTGTGATTGGTTTGTAACAAAATAGCAGCAATATAGATTTAAAGTAAAAAAAATTTAAATAATTTTTGAATGTTTACAAAAACTTTTAAAAAAATAATAATAAAGTGTAAATCTTGTAAAAGAAAATAGCCAGCAGGTTAAGGCTATTTTTAAAATTGTTATTGTAAGAATTTTACAAAATAATTTATGGCAAGTCGTCTTAGATGTATTTTGCTTTCCTTTCTCTTTCTTTTTCTTTATCTTTTTTCTTTTTTAATTTTTGATATTTGTATAAATGAAACTAGATGAATGATTTGCGATTGTAAAATACTTAACGATAACGAAACGATACGATAGAGTGACGATAGGATATTAATAGAGTTTTATTAAATTCACTTTTATTCATTTTGGTCATATCTTTTAATATCTTTTTTCATAAAATTGCTATAAAAAAAAAACATGTTTTATCGTGACAATATTTAATAAAGAAACATTAAAAATCAGGCATTAGGCAACTGGATTTAGTTAAAAAACCGGATTTAGTTAAAAAAAGTAAACAATTTTCCTCAAAAATGTCTAAACAGTGTTTACCAATAAAATACATACTTAACATATTGTCAGATTAGTCTAATGATAAAAATAATGATGACATAATGACTGTAACAATATTGGTGATGATATCGATTAAAATGCTTGATTTTTTTTGGTTTTTGTTGCTTTTATTTCAGGAATATCCTAATAAAAAATCTTTTGTGTCTAAAAACTTACAAAAAAGGTTTAGCAATAAAACATGGTTCGTTAACTTGCACTCACATATATGTAATATATATATATATATATATATATATATATATATATATATATATATATATATATATATATATATATATATATATATATATATATATATATATATATATATATATATATATATATTAAATATATTTATATCACATATAAATATATTTAAAAAAATAAAAACGTTGTAAATATTAGTTCAAATATTAATTAAATAATTAAAATGTAAATAATAAATAAAAAGTACTTTAAATTACAAGCCACGTGTGTTATATTTCTTTCTAATTTACAACTCACAACAGATTTATACATACATCAAAATTTAGACAAGAAATTATATAGGAGCAAACAGAGTGGGAGTTTTATGTAACTTTAACCTAAACAAACGCTTTCACATAACTGTTAATGATTATTATAATGACACAGCTATGAATACTGAATGTAAATGAAAATCTAAACTTACTAATAAACATAAAACCTGTTCAAACATTTTTTATCTTAATAAAAAAAAAATTATTTTAATCCACCATCATGATGTTGACATTTAGAACAGGTGTCTCCAATGCAACATTAACATATAAAACCTTGTAAAAGCAAGTTGAGTCTAAATAATACGCAAAATGTACTCTTTAATAGTGCTTGTACTTTCTTTCCTTTCAATCAATGGCCTGGTGAGTTTCTAAATTCAAATAACTTTTACTTATTTTTTGTAGATTGAAAAATATGTTTGAAAGCATTTAATATATGCTAAATAATTAATATTATGTTAAACATATATTACATACCAAAATTACTTTTGAATAAAAACAATTTTATTTTTTTTTGAAAATAAAATAATATTATCTGGTGGTGTAGCTTAGCCACAGCTCTAATCAATAGTCTTATAAATACTAAAAAAAGGCTTATGAGTTATTCCCATCAACAATATTTTTAAATATATATATATATAATATATATATATATATATATATATATATATATATATATATATATATATATATATATATATATATATATATATATATATATATATATATATATATATACTTAGAAGACTTTATTCATTTCGGGTTCAATACTATTAATTCATTCGTTGTAGTAATTAAGTAAATGACTATAAAGAATGGACGAAAATGCTATTGTATAATTTGTTTATTTATTACAGGTGCTACACAATAAAATAGAAGAAAGTGAAGCTGAGGTAGATTTTTTTAACTTTTACTTTACTAGTTATACTTAGCTTTAGATATTTAGCAATATTTTTTAAAAATATGATTTTAATGACACAGTCAACGCTTGATTAAGGGAGTGACTTAGGGGGCTGTAGCCCCGGGTCCCGCAATTAAAGTGGCCCCTCATTTTTTATGCTGTGGCACACAAAAAAGGCCTCCAAAAAAATACCTCCGTGCCCCGAAAAGTCTTCATTTGCCACTGGACACAGTTATAGTTAATTATCAAAAAAAAGTGAAGTATATAGAGAAGATGAAATTGGTTAAAAAATATTTTCGAATCTCAAGATGATATACAAAAGAAGATGATATAAAAAACAAGATGACTTACAAAACAAAATTTTATTTTAAAAATTATTCAAAAAAAAAGACTATCATGACAAAAAAATATAAATCTAAACTAATTTTTTAATTTTAAACAACCTTACGTAGTACTCTTTCATCATGAATAATGATGAAAAACATCGCTACATTTTTTTTTCAACTGTGAATATAAAATTTGGACAAAATGGTAAAAATAAGTACTTTATTACACTATTTTAGATTCATTTAAGAATTTGTTTAAAAAAGAAATATATTTATTAATTTTAATAACATTGCAACTATTTTGTATGTAGATGTATTTAAAAAAGAAAATGAGATCCGCTTCTAAATACTGCCACCTGTTTTTCTTGTGAGTTTTAGCTAAATTAAAAAAGATTTTAATTGCAGTACAAAAATTTTCTTTGGGTTTGGTAATCTCTAAATCCATTTCAATCGGTTTAACCATTTTTTAAGTGCAATTTTTTTTTAGCCAAAGACAGATGAAACTACAATAGACATTTAATTTAGTCAACAATTTTGTTGGTGTCTATGTAGGCATTTAATGACGATAGTCGGCTAGAGAAACACTAGTTGGAAAATTAAGGAACAATTTTGTTTGCCCATCATGTATGCTCTCACGATGTTTTTAAGTAAACCTTTTGTTTGATAGTAAAAAACAAATTCAGCATATTGTTGGCCTTCTTTATTACACATTTTTCCGCATCAAGTTTAAGTAACTTTTAAACCTGGTTCTCACAATCACAGTTGCTTAGTTGATATTAAGCTTTGTTGACATTATGTTTAGTTGACATTACGCTTAGTTGACATTTTACTTGGTTGACATTATGCTTAGGTTTTTCAGTTTTTATTTTCCTATTTGTTAAACAATTTCTTATTTAATGTCATTTTTTGTTTTTTATTTACATCATAGTTGAATATTTAGAATTACAATAATTTTTGTTTGCATTACAACACGGGTTGTTTATGATTACAAACTCTTTAAAACGTTTTTTTTTTTCAATTCAAGAAAAATATATTTGTAAGGAAGGAGGCGGGAGCTTCCTTTCAAATTCTCTTCCGTAGTACTCTGTGATAAGACCGTAAGACTTCTAGGGACACCTAAAAAAGTTAATATATATGAATCGGTGAATGTTAAAAGGGCGAAAGCCCAATTAGGTAAACTTTCGGGAAATTAAAAAAAACTGCATTTCCCCCCTAAGTAAATTTAATATATATATATATATATATATATATATATATATATATATATATATATATATATATATATATATATATATATATATATATCGTCACATTAGAATTATAGTGTTCTATCTGCCTTTTTTTATGTTGTGAGAACTTAACTTTCAATATTTATTTAATACATGTTTTACAGCTTTTATTCATTATAATTATAAGTTGTTTATGTTATCTGTTAAAAATGTTAAAAAATGATATATAATATCATTTTTTAAGTGGTTTGTTTTTATTATTAAATATATATATATATAATATATATATATATATATATATATATATATATTTCGTCAAAAAACAATTATTTTACAATATTTTTTGTAAAAATTACAAATTAAATCTTTATATTCTGACAGGAGCAAGTAGAAGACAATGCGTCTTTTCACCCTGCTCCTAAGTTCGTGAAAATATCAAATAAGATTTACGTATTAAGTTCCTAAAATATACGTTATATAAGTTTTATACATATTACAAGTTTTGTACATACTATAACATATTACAGCTCATAAAATATATAAGTTATAAGATGCATATATACGTGTTAACAAATCGATATATAAATTTTTTTTTAAATAAAAAAAAATGTTTTTATTATTTAAACCTAATAAGTATCGTTTAACTGCTCTTTTAAATAGTTCAATTGAATTCATGTTTTTCATGTCTCTATTAAGGAAATAGTTCCACAAACGTGGTCTTCGACATGTAATTGAGAAGTCTGTTTTTCTAAGGGATGTTGTAGGGATGAGAAAGTTGCCAATGGAATGTCTTGAATAGTATTTATGATTACTTAAGGTAAAATGCGGTTGAAAATATGTTGGAAGCATGTTGTTATAAATTTTAAACATAAATAACAGATTTTGATAGATGTTTAGTTTATAAATATTTAAAACATTAATTTTTTTAAGTAAAGGCTCGGCGCATGCATATCTATCTGCATTCAAAATTAACCGGCTCGCCTGCTTTTGTTTGGTATTAATTTTTTTTAAAGAAGATGAATAAATACTTGCCCACACTATATTGCAATAACTTATGTGATTATGAATAAATGAAAAATACAAGCTTTTTAAGCACATTATATTCAAAAGGTGTTTCGTTTTGAAAAGGATCCCAAGAGGTTTGAAATGCTGTTTTCCACTAATTGGATTTGATTTTTCCAGTTTAAATGATCGTCAAATATTATACCTAGGATTTTCATTGAATGAACTCTTTTTACTTTAATGTTGTTTATAAATAAATCAGGAAGTTTTAGGGGTATGTTATCAGTTTTGGAAGGTTTCGTGAACAGAATATATTTAGTTTTATCAATGTTTACGTACAGTTTATTGGCTTTAAACCATTCATTGAGATTAATTAGCACTGTGTTTACAGTAGAAAAAACAAATTTTAAATTAGACCCCGAAAAAAAAATATTAGTATCATTAGCAAAAAGAACAAAATTAAGGAATTTAGAAGATAAGTGGATGTCATTGATATATAAGAGAAACAGCAGAGGACCAAGTATTGAGCCCTGAGGGACACCGCAACTAATAACTTCTAACTGCGTACAAGTTAAACCATACGTCACACATTGTTTACGATTTTGTAGATAAGACTTGATCCATTTTAGATTAGTATTTTGAATTCCATAATTTTTTAGTTTATAGAGAAGGATTTCGTGGTCGACAGTGTCGAATGCCTTCGATAAATCAACAAAAACTCCAAGTGTATAACTATTGTCATCAAATCCTTTCAAAATATTGCTAGCCAAATCCATCACAGCATGCTCAGTGCAATGATTTCTCCGAAATCCAAACTGTTTAGGATATAAAATATTGTTTTTATCAACGAAGTTATATATTCTATTATACATAGACGTTCGAGAACCTACAGGAGAAAATTGAGATGGGTCTGTAGTTTGATTCTAAAGAATCGTCGCCGTTTTTATAAGTTGGAATTATTTTTTTAGTTTTAATTGATCAGTAAAGTCCCCGTTTTTTAATGAAAGTTTAAAAATAATGAAAAGAGGCAATTCGATAATGTCAAAGACACTTTTCAAAACATTTGCATTAATTTCATCAAGACCTGCACTTTTATTTGTCTGAAGCATGTCAAAAGCTGAACGAAGTTCATCAATGAAAAGTTCCGAATTGTCCATAATAAAATCTGATTTTTTCAAAAAAGACTAGAATGTTTTGCTACTTGGAGAGATTTCTTTGGCTAAATTTTTCCCAACATTTATAAAAAAATTATTCAGTCTCTCAGCAATTGTTTTTTTATTAAAAATTTCACCTTTATCGGTTTTCAGTCGATTAGGGAAGTTGCTAGATGTAATTTTTGTTTTCCCTGTTATATCTTTTATTATAGTCCAAGTTTTTTTAGCATTTCCAAATGATTTCTGAAGCAGACCAGAATAGAAGTTTTTTTTAGATTGCTTTTTATTTTTTCGAAATAGTTTTTATATTTTTTTTATTTAGTTTCGTTTTCATAGTTTTTGTTTTTTAAAAATTTTTCGTAAAGCTTTTTTTTTTTTTTTTTGATGATTTTAAAAGACCTTTAGTCATCCACGGCCTATGCAAACTTTTGGATTTTATATTTTTTCAAACTTTAGGAAAAGCTTTATCATATTGCCTTGTAAAGACGCGGATAAAGAAATCGTATGCGCTACATGAGTCATTGCAATCATTCAAAAACTCCCAATAGATTTCACGCAAAAGGTGTCTAAAAATTGTAATCGAGTATTTGTTTACATGCCTTATGTATACTTTTATGGGTTTTTTATTTATACAGCATTTAGTATTTGTTGTTAAAAAAACAGGAAAATGTAATATCCGTTTTTATTATACCATTGTTGATTGTCGAGTTACTATAATTACTAGTGATAATATTGTCAATAATAGATGATGTTTTTCGAGTTACACGCGTCGGCTTGTTAATCATGGGTTAAGCACTAAATTGAGAAAGAGTATATATAAAACTTTTTAAGTGGTTATCAGTGTTTAAATTTATCAAGTTTAAATTAAAGTCTCCGAGTAAATATAGATGTTTTTTAGAGGTTTGAATTAATATTCGCCTAAAGTAATTTTCAAATTGATTGTAACTGCCATTGGGTGGTCGATATAAAACTGTAATAAACGAATTTTTTTCTTTTTGGTTTATTACCTCTATAGTTAATGATTCGCAATTCGAGTTTTTCACACTTAGACTATCTACTTTTTTATACGTCAACAAGTTGTGAATAAATATGCATACGCCTCCGCGAATACCGTTTTTTCTCGGTTGGTGAACAGACTTGTAATCTGTTAAATGCAAATTAGAGTTACTCATATCTTCACTCTGAGACCAGGTTTCTGTAAGACAGATTATACTGAATTTAATACTTATATTATTTAGCATTAATTTTAGATTTTCAAAGTTTTTGCTCATGCTTCTAATATTTATATTTAGTAATGACATGTAATGTAGTGATTTACTTTAAATACTTGTAACCTCATGAACTTTAAAATAGTTAGTTTCTAAGGAATAATTGTCAAGAATGTTTACGTCAGGATCAATGTTCTTTGAAAAGTGACATGCGTTTTCATCAGAAAATGTATTTAAAAAATTATAATTAATTATATCCGCCATTTAAAAAGACAGGAAAAAAATATAATTAAAAAAGAAATGGAAAGTTAAATAAATAAAAAATGCATTACTTTTACTTTGGAACTTTGATTGAGTATTTTACCGCGTTTTTTAAATGAAAATTTTTGTCATACCTCACTGCAAGGTTTTCTCCCTTTAGACGTCATTCTTTAACTTCTGCAAACAACTTTTTTCTAATATCAACTGTCGTTTTGGAATAATCTTCATTGACATATATATTTGAGCCTTTCAATTTATTCGTTTCTTTCAATATTTAGATTTTATTTTTATAACTTTTTAACTTCATTACGATTGATCTTGTACGATTCTTTTTTAATCCCAGTACGATGTGCACGTTCAATGTCGATTCCCAACAAACCTAGATTTTTCTCAAGAAATATTTTTACTTTTTCTTCCGTTTGTGTCCAAGTTTCATTATCATTTTCCGGTAACCCATCAATTCTTAAGTTATCTCTTCTTGTTTTATCTTCAATGTTTCTTTGTTGATTTTTTAAGTGTTGTAAACAAGTTAATTCCTTTTCAAAGCTGTTGCGGCAAGCCTCGACTTTTTGATCGATAAGGTTTTCTTGAAAATTTAAACTTTATTTAACATCTGCTACATCTTTCTCGAGTAAATTAATTTTACTTATGTTTTCATTTAGAATGTTTTCAATTTTATCCAGTCGCTTGTTAATTATTTTCGTATTTCCGCTTATAATATCTAAAACGTTTTTTTCTTGTTGTTTGAGTAATGCTTCGATTTTGCATTTCTTTCTTGAATTCCATGAACATTTTTTTAACATTTTTTTAATTTCTGATAATGTTGCCATGATATATAAAAATCGAGTTCAAACAAAATATCTCTACTTATACAAAATACGAGAAAAAAAAAGTAAGTTTATATTTATATTTCTTCGTGTTTGCAACTTTAGAAAGATTTATGAAAGCTGTTAAAAACACATCTGTTCACTACGCAAGCTGAGTTATAAAAAAAAAAATATATATATATATATATATATATATATATATATATATATATATATATATATATATATATATATATATATATATATATATATATATATATATATACATATATATATATAGCACAAAACAAGTGCAACCAAATAATGCTAATTTAGTTTCTTTATATAAAAGTGCTGCATTTTTTCAATTTAGAGAAATAATTATGTAACTGTTAAAAAACCATGTTCTTCAAGTTTTATTCATCACAAAGTTCATTATTTGTACACGAAAATTAATAAATTAATCAAAAATATTTAAAAAAGTTTATTTTCTTCTGGACAAAACAAGTGCAACTCCACAAAATGTTGACCAAGCTGTATTTCGCTATCAATATTTCGTGACGAACCCTTTGTTGTCGATCACAGTCTTGCATCTTCGAGGCATAGATTCGATCAGGTGATCAATGAAACTTTGTGGAATTGCTGCCCAGGCCTTTTGGATTTGTTCAAACAGTTGATCCTTATTACGAACACCTTCGCGATTTATTTTTTCGGTTGACGACCTCCCACAGGTTCTCGATAGGGTTGAGATCCGGAGATTGAGGCTGCCAATCCATCACCGATAGATGGTTGTCTTGAAACTACTGCTTGACTAATTTTGCAGTGTGTTTCGGATTGTTGTCTTGCTGAAAAACCCATTTTATTGGCATACTCCATTCAGCATGAGGTAACATAACATCTTTTAGGATATTTTTATACATGAAACAGTCCATTATTCCATCGATTCGATGTATTGGACCTAGACCGTTAGCAGAAAAACACCCCCAGACCACTACATTGCCTCCACCATGCTTCATGGTCTTATGGCAGTAACGTAAATTGAGGCGTTTTCCGGCCGGCCGACGTACACGGCAAATGCCATCGCTCCCAATGATGTTGAACTTCGATTCATCACTGAACATGACAGTTCGCTATTTCTGCACATTCCAGTCAAAATGAGATGAGCAAACAGGAGTCTTTTCTTCTGGTTCTTTAGTGAAATTAGCGGTTTCTTTGCAGGGCGTCGAGAAGATAATCCGGCTTTAAAAGCAAGTCTTCTGATTGTTCGATCCGATACAGGCAGCTCTAATTATTTTTGTATCTCGACTGATTATATCCAGGGTTCCTTCTTGACGGATCTGAAGACCATAGAATCCTGTCTAGAAGTGGTGGAACGCGGTCTTCCACTTTTGTTATCTGCTGCCAACTTCCCCGTAGAACGATATTTGGAACAATAATTTTCTTTCTTAGTTCCAATCCAAGACTGTCGGGAGCCATTTTTGCACTTGGATGCTTCTGAATATTTCTGGATACTTCTGGATGCTTCTGGATGCTTCCAGATGCTTCTTCTGGAAACTTCTGCATGCCTCTGGAAACTTCTGGATACTTCCTTTAATTAATAAAAAAATTCCGTGACGTTGACACGGACCAGACTTAAGAAAATGAAACAAACCAAAAAAGTTGCACTTGTTTTGTCCGCTGCAAAATAGCACTTGTCAACGAAATTCTGCCTGTGTGCTGTCACCTGTCAGCTGATTGCTCATGTCATGGCATGCTATGATTCCAGACTCCTGAAGTGTTTGCTGTGGTAGTCTAGTTCGTTTCGTTTTTAAGACATATAAAACTAGGAATACATTTTAGCATATATATATATATATATATATATATATATATATATATATATATATATATATATATATATATATATATATATACATTTGTCAAAACGTTTTTAAATGTCTAAAAATGTTTTATTTAGAGACTGCTGATAAACCTTGGTTATTACAATCCATTTGCCTTTGATGCTAGTAACAACCTAACGGAAGCAATCAAAGACTACCAAAGTTTTTATAATCTTCCTAAAACTGGAGAGCTCGATCAATTAACAACTGAAATAATGAACAAGCCAAGATGTGGAAATCCTGATAAAGTTTATAGTAGTCATGGTTATTATTTGTTGTGGCATACGAAATGGCCCACCAAAACTCTTACATACAAATTTGAAAACACAGGCAACTTTTTATGCTATAACTGTTTTCATTTTTTAGTTTAGTAATTTTTTTAACAAATCTTATAGCTTCTTTCTTATACCCATTATGCAGGTGCTGATCTTCCAGCAAAAACTGTAAAAGATACAGTTAGAAAAGCATTTAATATGTGGTCCTCGGTCACTCCTTTAACTTTCACTGAAGTAACTGAGCGCCGTGGTCATATAAACATAGGGTATGGTGTATTTATAACCTTTATTTCTATTTTATGACTAAAAAATATATATTTTTCTTTTAATTCCTAAAGTGTATATGTTTTAATAATATATTATCATATATACGCTCAAACCATTGCGACTGTGTTGTCACGGTTTGAGCGCTTGCTTTAGAAGCACGAGATTCGCGGTTTGAAGCATGCCTTAGGTATATTTCACACTATCTCTAAGGAAGGAGGCGTAAATGTATATATATATATATATATATATATATATATATATATATATATATATATATATATATATACATATATATATATATATATATATATATATATATATATATATATATATATATATATATATATATATATATATATATATATATATATATATGTATATATATATATATATATATATATATATATATATATATATACATATATATATATATATATATATATATATATATATATATATATATATATATATATATATATATATACATATATATATATATATATATACATGGTCGTAGAGAGGGGGGGTCAGGGGTATATTATTCTGGGGCCCGGCTCTGTTCAAGGGCTGGACTTGTGAATTATAAAGTATTATACTTTCTTTTTTAAATACACCGTACTCGGATTGGTTGTTCTAATTACAGTTTTTAACATTAGTATCACCGTAAACGTTAAATTTAAATGTAAAACATAATAAATATTATATAAATTTTATAAGCTAAGTTATTTGGAATTGAATCAAAAGGAAAATATCTCAAGAAAAAAATTATTTAGTAAAAATATACTTTGAACACATTATTTGGAAGCATTTATAGTTTCTATAATTCGAAAACTTTAGATCATTTGCAGAACATTAAATCGCTTGCGGTATTTTAAAATAAAAGACAAAGAATGCCAGAAAATTGTCTATTTGATTCTACAGTTTAGTTTATTTTTATGTTAAAGTTTAATCAGTTGTATATGGAGTTTTGTTAAATTTTTATGTTAAATTTGGTTTCATTTTTTTTTTTGCTCCTCAATTTTTTGGGCCTTATAAAGCTTTCGCGACAGGAGCCTTTTCCGCTTTGGTCTCCCCTTACTACGCTAATGTTTAGGAGTGTTTGTTGCACATATTGCTTTATTATACATACCATCGATATATCAATGACATATCTTTAATATGGTATATCATATCATATAGAGAATGTTTTATTTACCGGAATGATAATTAATGCCAATTTATACAAAATCTTATTTAGTAGTCAATTAAAAAATGAACTACCATCACAAATTTGAAAAAAGGAAAGAAAAATTGTCGAGAATGAAAAAAGTAAATGAAAAACAAACTCCACTTCAAAGTTATGGATTTTCAGTGTCTTCGAAAGAGAAAGATTTAGAAAATGAATATCATAATGTAGAAGCTAATTTTAACAATTACGACAACGTTGTTGAACAAGCTGCAAATTTAATTAATGTGACGGCCGACTTTCCAGATCCTGAAAACATAGAAAATAAAGATGACGTGGAGCCCGGCAATCTTTTAGTTCCTATCAACAATATCTCTGAGAATTATAAATCAAGTATAACCGATAATAAAATTACTAAAACAAAACTGCTTGACTTTGATGTTAGTAGTCTAAAAAATGAAAGACCAAATGCTTCTGAAATTGAGGAAGCTGTTTGTAGGGGTCCAGAAAAGATCCCACCTCAATTTCCAAAAGATGTGGACGGACATTTATTTCCTGTTTGTATACTACATACAAGTATGAAAAATGGAGAATATGTTTCCCGTGATTGGCTTGTTTGGAGCAAAGTTAAACAATCGATATTTTGTTTTCCTTGTCGCCTTTTTAGCTAACTACCAACAGCAAGTCGCTCACGTTTAACAACTATATCTGGCTATTGTTTTCAAAGAAAATGAAAAAAGTTACATGACAAAATTCCAGGGCATCAAAACAGCAGCAACTATAAATATTGTTATATTAAATGGCGGCTATTGGAAAAAAGTATTGACTCTAATTCCACTGTCGATATTATGCTGCTGCAGACCATTAAGAGTCAAGCATCACAATGGAAACAGGTTCTTTGCCGAATTTTAGATGTCACATTGTTTCTAGCCGAACGAGGTTTGGGATTTAGAGGAATAAGTGATTTAGTTGGAGTTGCAGCAAATGGAAATTTTTTGGGCATTTTAGAGCTCTTGAGCCATTACGATTCTGTTTTGAAAGACCATCTGAACAAAGTCATGAAGTCGCAGAAATTGAAGAGAGGACAACCATCAAATTACCTTTCACCGGAAATATAAAATGAGTTTGTAGAGTGTTGTGCCAAAAAAGTATTAGACGTTATTCTAAGTGAACGAGAAGCAGCAAAATATTACTCAATACTTGTTGATGCAACCCCTGATTTTGCACATATGGAGCAAACTGTATTTATATTGCGTTATGTTTATTTAAATGAAGAAAACAGTCTCTACGAAGTTCAAGAGCGATTTCTAGAGTTTGTTGACTGCAATCAGAAAACGGGGAAAGCTATTACTGAATTAATTTGCAGTGTTATTAAAAAACACAATATACCAATGACAGACTGTCGTGGTCAAGGTTATGACAACGGTAGCAACATGAGCGGTCAATATAAAGGAGCACAAGCAGAGATAGTTAAAGAGAAACAATTAGCAATTTATACTCCATGTGCTTGTTATAGCTTAAATCTGTGTGGTGTCCATGCCGCAGAGTGCTCTGCAGAGGTTATAAACTTCTTCGGTGTTGTGCAAAAGACTTATAACTTGTTCACCTCAAGCCCGCAAAGATGGCAAATTTTAAAAGAAAACATTGGATGCTCTTTGCATAGCATGTCAGATACACGTTGGTTAGCCAGGATTGAAAGTGTAAAACCTTTTGCAGAACTATTCCTGGTTTAAAGAGTGCTATCCAAGACTTAAAGAAGCTAAATCTTACTGCCGAGACTCGATCAGATATCAAACGTATTGAGAAATACTTGGGTTCATTTGAGTGCATTATATTTGCAAGCACTTGGTTTAAAGTTCTAGCAAGCATCAATTACAGAAACACAGTTCTGCTAGCCAGAAATGCAACTTTAGATGGGAAGGTTTTAAATTTAAAAAACCTAATTGATGACCTCTTATTATTGAGAAACAACTGGGATTCATTTTTAAATGAACTTGTTGCCGAAAATCTGGGTATGGTTTCCAATGACATATTCCCGGAAAAAAAACGCAGCCGAAAAGCTAGATTATTAGATGAGGAACAGAATAATAAATTATGCAACACCAGTGCAGAATTTTGTTTCAAGCGCGATGTTTTTATTGTTCTTTTAGGTTGTGTCATAAGTAATATGAATCGGCGTTTTGAGGCAGCCAAAGATCTTGAGGAAACATTTGGTGTTGTATGGAAATACATAACATTAGATAAAGATCTGCTGTGTAAAAAAGCTTCATCTATTTGCGTTAAATACGGCATTGATGTTTCTCTCGATTTAATAGACGAGTTAAAACATTTAAAGGCAATTCACGCATCAAATCTTGGCATAATACAATTATCGCCGTTTCAAATATTAAACAAACTCCATGAGTTGAAGCTTGATTTTCTTTTCCCAAACATTTTAGTTGTTCTTAGAATTTTTTGTACACTTCCAGTTACCGTTGCACAAACAGAACGCTCTTTCAGCATGTTCTACGATGTGTCAAGATCGACTTTCTAATTTGGGAAGACTAGCGATTGAGGCGCCACTTGCGAGGAAACTAGACTTTGATGCAGTTATCGAACTTTTTGCAAACAAAAAATCTCGCAAAGCTTATTTTGGTTAATTGCAGTACAATTAAATACAATTATTTATTTTGAACACATAGAATTCATAGAATTCAAATATTTTTTTTTTTAAAGAAAACCAAAGAATATACTTGTTGGTTTGTAAAACTCTCTTAGAGAAATTAGAGTCTTTATTAATACTTTTTATTTTAATTGACATTCTCTTCTTTTTTATATTATATCAAGTTAATTACTTATAGTAAAAATGTTAAAAAAAAGGCTACTTAATTAAAAAGCTTTTTATTACAAAATTTTTTGCTAAATAAACTTAATTACTCCGCGCAGCGGCCTTGCTTGCCAAAGTTCGTGTTTCTGAGTTAAAGAGTTGAGAGAGGGTTGTACCACAATTAACAACAAAAAATAAAAAATAAAAACACAAAAAAAGGAGTAGCCTCTTCGACTATAGTGACCCCTCGGCCTAAGGAAGGTGAATAATGTAAAAAAAAAAAAAAATTTTAACAAATTCAACTTGTTAAAAAAAATGAAAGGATTCGTTGACCAACCTAACTAATTAAAGAAACATTTAGTTCTAGACTTTAAGATGGATTTTGATTTAAGTTAGAGTAAAGACACGTCATAGACTTTAAGTTTGATGTTTTCAATATGGATATGAATATTAATGTAAAATAAAGAGGGCCCGCGAAAAAATTTACCCCGGGGCCCGGCTTGGCTCTCTACGGCCCTATATATATATATATATATATATATATATATATATATATATATATATATATATATATATATATATATATATATATATATATATATATATATATATATATATACATATATATATACCGGTTTTTACATCCATTTAAAACAATCATGACAACCATTTAAAACAACCATGACATTCATTTAAAACACCGCGACAATCAATTAAAACAATGTGATTTTCAATTAAAACATTAAACGCATGCGCAATCACAACATTCTATATTATTTTTTAAAAAAAAGGTCTTTTTTATATATTTATTTGTCTAATATTATATAAATTTATTTTTATTAATGTTATATTAATTTATTTTAATTTAATGGAATTTATTTTAAATTTGAATGGATGTCACGTTTGTTTTAAATGGATGCAAAACCATATTTTTTTTACATATGTTTTATACACATACTGTATTGGCAAAACAACCATGATGTTCAATTGCATGATGATAATTCAACATGCATGATGATAATTAAAACAACCATGATTTCCTATTAAAATATTTAGCGCACGAGGATATTAGATTTTCATTAAAACATGCAGCGAAATTCTGTTTGCCAAAATACGCGAAAATTTGTTTTGAGATTGATCGTTGATCAAAGAAAAATTCAATCTGAATTGCCACGAAAAACTCAATCTGAATCTTCATGCCGCGAAGTTCCGTTTCCCAAAACGTGCGAGATCTTGTTGTAAATCTAGTCGTTGATCAAGGAAAAACTCAATCTGAAGCTTCATCGTTAACAGGAGTTAATCAAAACACAATACAATCAATTTTAAGAAGGTAAGATCGAACGAATTCAACACTTCCTGGTTCTAGAGGTGGCGCTCGTCACGTTATTTATAATGAAAAGATTAGAAGAAGAATTGAAGAGCTTATAAACAAAACACAACGGCAACTATAATTGAAATTAAATATGCTTTAAATGTAAATGTATCAATTAAAACTGTCTGGAGATGGGTGACCAATCTTGGATACACATATAAAATTACTCGACCAATTTATGAAGGAAGAAACGACATCGATGTAAAAAATCTTCGTATTGAATATGTTAGGTGGTATACTTCAATCTCGCCTATTAATCGCTATCGAATTATTGTTTTTATTGATGAAAGTTTATTTAATTTACACATGTTTCGCAGTCATTCATGGGCAAGAAGAGGAGTAACACCAAACCCGATCATTCACCCTGGCAACGTGACGTTTCGATGATATTGGCCGTCAATGGTTTAAATATTATTCATTGCAAAGCTGTCAGTGTGTCAGTCAACACAGTTTTGTTTCAAGAATATATTGATGAAGTTATACAAGTTTTAGGGACAGAGGAAGAATTCACCCTGGTGATGGATAATGTCAGAATCCATCATAATGTTGAGATGAGGGAACATTCAAATAGAATATTTGCCACCACATTCACCATTCTTGAATCCGTGTGAAGAGAATTTTTTTTATCTTAAGAATAAAGTGCGAAGAAAAACGGCCCCAGCTGGAAAAAATGAACTAATTTCAAGAATGTGTGAGGCATGCTTATCTATTCCTAATGTTAACTTATCAAACTATTACACACACTGCGAAAGCTTTTTCAAAGCGTGTCCTAGGTCAGATGACATACCTCGACAGTAATTGGAAAATAAACATTATATTTTAAATAAAATAAAATTTTAAATTTTTTTAAAAAATCGAATAAAAAAAATATAAAGAAAACCTTTTTTTTTAAATAATATAGAATTTTGAGATTGCGCATGCGTTAAATGTTTTAAATGAAAATCACGATTGTTTTAATTGATTGTCGCGGTGTTTTAAATGAATGTCATGATTGTTTTAAATGGTTGTCATGATTGTTTTAAATGGATGTAAAAACCGGTATACATGTGTATATATATATATATATATATATATATATATATATATATATATATATATATATATATATATATATATATATATATATATATATATATATATATATATATATATATATATATATATATATATATATATATATATATATATATATATAATTGATTTTTAAGAGTGGACACTTGTAAATTACAGACAACGTCAAATATCATTTTAAAGTTGTAGTTTGGCCTAGTCAAAAGCAGAATATTTCATTTTACAAAAGAAAAGTGTATTCAGTTGCGGAAATAATTTCTATCCTTCTTAAGTTTAAATTTTTATTAACTAATAAATTTTCACAAATTTACAACGTTTTTAGCTTCATCAAGAAAGAATATTAACTATTCTACACATCAACATGATTAAACTATAATATTTGCTTTAGTTAGAAATTGAAATTCTATTTTTATACAGATTTTATTCTGGGACACATGGTGATGGTGGAGATTTTTTTGGCCCCGGAGGTACATTAGCACATGCTTTTTATCCGCAAAACGGAAACCTTCATTTTGATGAAAATGAAAATTGGGTTGTAAATCAAAGAGGTTAGTTAGTTTAAATTGTATATATAATTCGTTTGTTTAATGTTATAATTCGTTTGTTTAATTGTTTCGAATTCGTTTGTTTAATTGTTTCGAATTCGTTTGTTTAATGATTTAATCCATTATAATGAAAATTCTTTTCATTATAATGGATAAAGAAACTTTTTTTCTTTTTTACTTAAAGTTTGAAATTTTTTATTGTAAAGTATTACAAATATTTCTTTTAGGAACAGATTTGTTAGAAATAGCAGTTCATGAAATTGGGCATGCTATAGGTATCCAGCATTCAAGTATTCGCGGAACCATTATGTTTCCAACATACTTTGGTTACCGATCAAATTTACAACTTCATGATGATGATATTAAAGCAGTTCAAGCTTTATATGGTGTTGGAACAGGTAAAGTAACCAACGGCTTTTAAATTTGTAAATTTCAAATTTATTACAGACATTATTTTAATGAACAATTGTTATTATTATTTTTGTTGTTGTTATAGATTTACTTATTTAATATAAATGTTTTTGATGGTTTAATTGTTGTGTTGACTACTATAATCAACACATCAGATATTAAATTAATTTATTATTTAGGAAGTTTATCTTATTTAAAGTTTTGAAATAAAGTGTATATTCAAACAAACATAAAGTAATGTTCAAATTATATAAAGTATATGCAAAAAGATAATGTTCCAGCAGTACTTTTTCGATGTTTTACAAAATATTAGTTACAAATTTTATTTAAGTCCATGTGCAAATAAAATAATCAACTATAAGGGCTTGGACTTTTCTTCCGTTTAAAAATCCTCCCTTTTTTTTGTAATATTATTGATTTATTTAATAATAAACTATCTTTTTAACCAGGTGGAATAATCACACCAAACCCACCTACTGGAACCCCACCAACCGGAACTAAATCAACTCAATCTCCGCCTAGTGGTAAATGTCCATATACAGAGGATAAAAACAAAGCTTGCTTTTTTTGGGCACAACACGGCTACTGTACATCGGCTAGAAGCGATTCTTTAGCAAGAATGAAGAGCGACTGTTGCAACAATTGTGAAAGTAATATAAAAATTATAATCTATAAAAATTAAAATCTTTTTAATTAAAGAAAAAAATATATCACAACTTTTAAATAATACAACAATTTTCAAACTAATCTTTATATTGGTTATTTAGTAAAATTGTTTGTATTTGTGTTAATAAAAACTTAATCTTTATTTTATTATTCCTAGAAAATGCACTTTGTGATAATAAAGACAAGCAATGTGACAGTTGGGCCAATCGAGGAGAATGTCAAAAGAATTTTGTTTGGATGAGAGAAAACTGCTCTAAAGCTTGTAAAGAATGTAGTTAATAAAAAAAAAAAAGAAAAAAGAAAAAAATATTAGTGTTATATTTACTATATTCTCCTTTGGTGTCAGTTATATCATTGGAAAGTTTGCGTCATAGATGATTTTATATGTTTTAAAATTATAATTTGGCTTAATAACAAATCAAATGATGAATTTATTACATCACCTAATTCGACTTTAAATTTTCCAAACCTAGCATATAGCAAATTTGAAGCAGCATTTTGATCACTAAAACAAAATAAGACAATTTAGGCTGACCTGATAAATGGAAATGTTGTAATTGAATCCTTTGACGCTTTAAAAGATAACCTTTTTTAAATTTTTAAAGCATCTATTGGTAAGAAATTATTTCTAGACTCTCTAAAAGCAGCAAAAATAATTCTTATTTTCAAATAAGGTTACCACAACAAGATTACAAACTATTGTCCTACTTCAGTTTTTTCAGTTTTCTTTAAAATATTAGAAATAATAATGTATAACAGTTTACAGTTATTTTGTTGACAATAAACTTGAATAAAATAATTAATTTGGCTTCCAGATAAACAATTTTACTGAACATGTCATACTCCAACTAACACGCACATTTCTGACTTTTTTTAAAAGTTCTCATTATACGATTTGAGTATTGACCAACTTGTCTAAAGCATTTCATTTCGATTACTATATTCTGTTAAAAAAAAATAGAAATCTATAGTATAAGAGATAAATCCCTAAACTTGTTAAAAAACTATCGTAGTAACTGTAAGCAAATTGTTAATATTAAAGACTCTTATTTGCAATTATTAATAAATGTAACATGTATCCCACAAGGGTCCATAATTGGACCCTTATTGTTTTTAATATACACTATTACATACACTATTATTTCATGTGCAAATTTAATATACATAAATGACCTTAAAAAAGCCTCTAATTTAACCACAATAGTTTTTGCTAATGATAAAAACCTGTTCCAATCTCATGAAAACAAATTACACTTTATAAATATATGACCCAAGAATTAAATAAAAATCTCATATTGTTATTAAAAAAATAGATTATCTCTAAATATTGATAAAATAAAATGGACATTTTTTGCCCAATATCCAGAAAAAAAGGCCTGCGAAACTCTATGCTTGACCTCTTAATTGATAATAAAAACTAAAAAAAGTAAAAAATTTCAAAACTTCTTGAAATTTCTTGTAGACGAAAACCAAAAGACCTTGTAGACGAAAACCAATCCTAGAAACAACAAAATAACATCTTAATGAAACTTTCTAATACGTACTGGATTTATATATAGACATGTGATAATAAGTAACAATTTAAACAACTATATTATTTATTTATCCATTGTCATTTAAATTATATAAATGATGTACGGGGAAGCGTGCACAAAACTAAACTTAAATCTCTTTATCAGGATCAGAAACGCGCAGCTTGCTAAGTTAATTTTGTAAATCGATTTTTAAATTTTGAAAGAAATGAAACTCTTAAATGTACGCAAACTAAATATTTATAATATTTTATGCTTTATGTTTAAATGTAAAATTATCTCCAAATTTATTTAGAAATTTTATATTATAAAACGCATAAACAAATACAATCTTGGAATGGAAAAAATCTTCAAGAACCTTTCTGCAAAACTAAACTCAAACAGCTATTTATTTTTATCGCGGTCTTTTTTATATGTGTAAATAACTTTGTCTATATATGATTTGTATATGAAATGGACTTTTTCTAATTTCAAATAGAAATTAAAAGAAGCCATCTTTTTAACAGAAAATATATTTATTTATATTTTATTTTGAGCAAACGTTTTTGTAGTGTCTTTTTAGTGAATCTATGTAGGCATTTTGAGCATTTCATTGAAGGTTTGCTTATCCGTTACATAGTGGACCATTAGCTGTATTCGTTTTAAGTGGCCAAACGATAACATCACTATAACATAACTGCCACTAATAACATAAATGCCACTAACGGCTCACTTAGTAACCAATGAGCAAACTTGAAAACAGTGAAATTCCGTAATAGAATGTTTGTTGGATTCTTTTGTTTTATATATTTTATTTGGTATATATATACGCAGCAAACATTCTATAGCGAAACTTCTGTGGACTTATATTAGCATTTTGAGCGTAATTATATAGTAGAGTTTTGCTCATCTTTTTTTGCTCATCATCAAATCTAAATAAATTTAGTAGCTTATTATAAAATGTTTTGAGTTTTACTTAAATTGGGAAAAGAATATTACAGTTTTTTAAGAGAATTTTTTCAAAGTCTAAGCAGAACTAGTGTGTCCAAGATTTGTTTTTGGTAAATCTTATCCCACTCTAACGACAGTCTTTATTTTATAATTTTCTAATGATTTTTCCTTTTATGAATTTTGATTTTAGAGCCATTAATAGGTTTTGTATCAAATGAAAGAAAATAGAAAAATGATAGGACATTTCTTTTTTTTACTATGACTTCAAAGAAACATCAAAAATTGAGTTAGTATATTGCTTTAGAATCGGTTAGTGCGGTGACTGAAGTTAGAGTTTCTCGGGTTAAAATTTAAACTAAAATTTTCGGGTTAAATTGTTAAAATTTTTTTTATAACTTTCATAACATAATAACTTAATAACGTTAATGATAATGTTGAGAAATATTTATAGCACAAACACTCTGCACCCTAGTATATGTTTAACTTGACTAATTTATAACATGTTCTGGAAATTATAATTATTATTTTTTAACATCTTCACTTCCAACAAAGTTGCAAGCAACTAATATTAGAGTTGGAAATTACTAAAAGAGAAAAGATGAAGTTTATAAAGCATAATAACGATTAACAGACAACTTAAAAGATTGCAAATTATATGAATCAGGATGAAGGGATCCAATCAGCAATACAAAAAAAAGTTCAACTTTTATAAACCATTTATAAACTTGCCTCAAAAAAACATATTAAAGCAATATATTGATTTATGTAAAATGTAAAAGTTTTTTCTCTTAAGCATCATGCAGAATTCAAAAAAAAAATTGTTTTTTTTGATAAGGCAAACTTTACCCAGCTTAATTCTTTCGTAGTGTCTAAGTATTTTATCCCATTGAACCACTAGTAAGGCCTGATGGATCTCTTATTACAGGAGATTATGAAAAAACAATTATTACTTTTGGCTCCGTTTTTTGTCAACGATAATGATATTTCACCTTTCTTAGATTTGCAACCACACAAACATTCTCTACTTGTGAGGTGTCATTCATTACTAATAATGTAATAAATACAAAACTGTTGTATCATTTCTTCAAAAACTTTTTTTAAAGTTTTCAAAAACACCACATCGGACTTTTTTTATTTTTAACTCAATTAACTCAAAATCTTACAGCTAGTTTGTTTTTAATGTCTGTCAAATTTAAAAAATGTTTACCAAATATTTGGTAATCTCCCATAGTATATCCTCTCATAGTATATATATCATAGTATATCTCCCATAGTATATCTCCCATAGTATATCTCCCATAGTATATCTCCCATAGTATATCTCCCATAGTATATCTCCCATAGTATATCTCTCATAGTATATCTCCCATAGTATATCTCCCATAGTATATCTCCCATAGTATATCTCCCATAGTATATCTCCCATAGTATATCTCCCATAGTATATTCGAATCTTAAGAAGTTTTAACATTTAACAAATAAATATTTGTTCAACTTGTTTACAGACATTGATAATCTAAAATGAATAGACTACTGCTGTTAACATACTTTTTTCAAAAATTATTGTAATTGATATCTTTTTTATAAATTTTAAAAGGCTTTAAATTCAGTGGCTTACTTTAAATAAATGTTTGAACAACTGGGTATTAAGCAAGAATTTAATCAACAGGATTGCAAACTTATTAACAAGTTGTTTTCAATGTGTTTGTATTGGTTAAAACATTCTTATAAAGAGTGAAACACATTTTAAAAATGATCTTCTTTTTTTTTTTTTTTTTTTTTTTGTACGTTTTGGGCAAATTTAAGTCGCTTTAGGCCAAAAACATGCAAAGAGTAAAATATCAAAATATTAGAACTTAATATATTTTCAAAAAGAAAAATATATGAAGTTCTAATATTTTGCAGTTTTATTCCTCTTAAGTAGATAAATGACCTGAAATAAATTTTTTTAAATATTTGTTTGAAATTAAAGGCATTGTATTGTTTTTTTAAACTTGTATAAATTAAATTCGAATTCCTAAAATTATAAGCCAAAAATTTTTTTTTAAAAACTGTATTCTTAATTTTTTTATCTTAGGACATAAAACATAAGTTTGATATTTTATGCTTCAGCTTTCAATGTAGAGAAAATTTATCACCAAATGTGTTTCCAAATCTTTATTGTTTCAAACCTAAAAACAAACATAATCACACAGCAAAATCGTAAATCCATTGTTTATAGTTTAAGAAGCATGTTTCTAATAACAAGAAATTTTTTGTTTTGTTTTTATAAAACAATAAATATAGTTCTTGTTTTAAGAAAAATGTTATTTAATAAGAAATGCAGTGAACTGTCTTTTGCTGTGAACAAACTTTCTTGGCAAAAACTCTTGTCCCTTTTTTACCGAGATCCTTATCTTGCCCCTTAGTTTTTTACCGAGGTCCTTATCTCTGGAAAAAAATAATCTTACCAAATTTCGACTTTTCTACTAAACTAACTTATGCTATGTTCAAATAAAAACTTAAAATAAAAATATATTTTAATGTGAAAATATCTTCATTTTTTTTATATTTTTTCGTTTATTGTTTTATTTAACAACTTATCTTAACTTTTTGAAACTTAATACATAAAATGTTAACGAAAAGTGTAATTCACTACAATATTTTTATCAAAATTAACCATATAATGTAAAGAGCTTTATGAAAAGATCCTCGTGATCTTTTAAAGGCCGACGACACCGGGGGAAGGAAGGTCAAGGGGTTTCCCCCCCCCCCCATTTTTTATCTAAAGGACCTTTTTTTTTTAAGAAAAATCTCGATATAGACTTTTTTCACAAATTGATGGTTGTGTCCCCCCAATTCAAAACCAAAATGTCAATGAACAAGTCCTAAACTGTGCAGAACATCTATCAAACCAGTTTTGCGAAAAGTAAACTTTATGA